ATTCTTGTAAAAATTCTTTATTCATCGAAAAAAATTTTTCTTCAGATAATAATGTCCTTAATGTATATTATTTATGAAAGCAAAAAAAGCCTATCTAAATTGATAATTAGATAGTTTATTGCAGTTTTTATTTTACGATTTGGAGCAGATTTTTTCAAAAAAGTTGGCAGTAGTTGTGGAAAAAAAAAACATAGAAATGGAAGATTTCATTTTTCCAAGGACTCCTGCTTATGAGTAATATAAAACAATTTACGAACTCTTGGAAATTCTAGAAAATTTCATAAAATTAATTTATGGGGCGGGGTGTAACAGATGTAAAAAAATATTTTTACCAAGATTTTCTAAAGATAAAAAATTCAAAAATAAATTCATTCATTTTTGAATATATCCTGAAACAATTAGACAATTATTTGATTTTTGCAAGAATTTCCAAATTAATGGGTTTTCCCCTGAAACTGCAATAATTGGAGGTACCTATTGAGACTGCTTTGTAATTGAAACAGAAGTCAAAATATATTCTTGTTTATACTAAAGTCAAAATGTATCCATATGTCAAATTTATACTTAAGTTAAAATGTAGACATGAGACTGGTTTATACTTGAGTCGGAATATATACATAGGACCTGCTTTATACTTGAGTCAAAATGTAGCCACAAGTTTCGTTTATACTTGAGTCGAAATGTACATAGAGTTCTGCTTTATACTTGAGTCAAAATGTAGCCACAAGTTTCGTTTATACTTGAGTCAAAATGTACATAGAGTCCTGCTTTATACTTAATTCAAAATGTTGCCACAAGTTTCGTTTATACTTGAGTCAAAATGTACATAGAGTTCTGCTTTATACTTGAGTCAAAATGTAGCCACAAGTTTCGTTTATACTTGAGTCAAAATGTACATAGAGTTCGGCTTTATACTTAATTCAAAATGTAGCCACAAGTTTCGTTTATACTTGAGTCAAAATGTACATAGAGTTCGGCTTTATACTTGAGCCAAAATGTAGACATATATCTAGTTTATACTTGAGACGAAATATAGGCTTAGATCCGGTTCAGGAAAAATCTAGATATATCTTCTATCTATTTATTTCAGTCAAATATAGTCATAGGTTTGGTTAATACTAGCATCAAAATGTAAACATAGGCCCGGTTTATACTTGAGTGGAAATTTAGTCAAGGGTTAGGGTTTATATTTGAATTAAATGTAGGTTTATATTAAATGTAATCTTAGGTCTGATTTATGGTTGAATCAACGTTTAGCTCCGGTTGAAACTTGAATCAAAATATAGATTGGGTTATAGAATTACTTGATTCAAAATGTAGAGAAAATTGAATTTTTCATATTTTTAGTATTTTAATATGGCGTAGACAGGGCTGGTGCGTCTTATCCCGAAAGCCTCGACCGGGGTGAAGGGTCGCGGGTTTTTTTTTTTTGGGGGGTGTTGTGGACTCTGCTATTTTTTTTCAGCACTGTTTTATGGCCATCAGCCGTTTTTTTAAAATTATTTTTAAACTGACGTTACATTGTCAATCATCAACTAATAATATACATTTTGTATCTGCCTGGCCGATGTGGTGCGTACCACGCACGAACAGATTTGCTTTTTACTTGGCTTTGCAAGAATCTTTGGAAAACTTATTTTTTGCTTTTCAGCTGAGATGCATCAGTGATTAATCTTTATCGAAATGTGAAAATTTGTGACTTAAACATTTTTTTCGAGAAAAATTAGCCATAAAACTATTGGTCGTTATTAAAAAAAAGAACAACATTTTCTCAGATTTTTTTTTTAAATAAAAACCTATTCATTATAAAAATAAATAATGACAATGTTCTTAAATTTTCATTAAAAATTGGATATTTTCCTGATTTTTATTAATTTAAAAAAGCGCTACTTTCCGCCACTAATTTTCCTTCGAGGGTCTGTGGCCCCCAGGTTAGGAAACTTTCAAATCGATATGTAGTAGAGAAGAGATCCCCTTTTCAAAGTTTCGTGGGTGGAGGCGAGACTCTAGAGCCTGCCCTGGGCGTAGATTACTGTAGAAATTTCAATTCTCAGTTGTAACAACCGCTGGGAAGTGACATTGCTCTATGGACCTCCTAAAATATCAACACAGACCTTCAATTTGAGATTTTTTGTGTGGATCCTCAGTAATATTACATGACCCTCCCCGTGTCAATATAGACCTGGTTGAGAACCTCTGCGTTAGGCATCCAATGACGAAAGAATTCACTATACTAGTTCATAGCCTGCCAGATTATTATACTCGCATTCGACCTGGTCATGTTTCAGGTTAAGCAAGATGGGGTTCCTGTTTCAGAACTATTGCTAGCTAATTAGTCTTTTTTTAAAATCTGGTTTTCTTCGTTTCTAACATTTTTATGATCAGTATCTTCATTTTAATACTAAGACAAGTATCTTTAGTTTTTAAAACTAATATCTTCAATTGGAAGACGAATGTCTTCACTTTTAAGACAAATATCTTTAGTCTTTAAGGCTAATAACTTTATTTTATAACATCTTAATTTCTAGGGCTAGTATCTTCCCGTTAAGACAAATATGTTCATTTTTAAAACTGAAGTCTTCATTTTAAAGACGAATAACTTCCCTTTAAAACTAATATCTTTATATTTAATACTAATATCTTAATTTTTATGACTCTTATCTTCATTTTAAGACTGATGTCTTCATTTTTTAAACTGATATCTTCGTTTTAAGACTAATATCTTTATTTAAAAATAAAGATATTTAACTATTTTTTTCTTTCTTTTTTAAGACTTATCTTCATTTATTAGTCATTATTTATATATCGGGACAGCCACCGAATTCCTCTCGTGACCGATTCTGCATCTGGTGGTTATGAGGTTACCTTCCAAGTCAACTTTTTGATGCACCTGTTACTTTTGATGCACCGGTCACTTTTGATGCACCTGTCACTTTTGATGCTTTGGTGAGACACCGAGTGCAAAGCCAAATTTGGTATATTTTAGGGTGAGCCGAGTACATATTGAGGTCACCACAGATCAACTTCTTTTAGGAGAAAATGTCCTTATTGACAAGAAATCCAATTCAGACCACCTGGTGGTATTTCCTGACAGTAAATCACATACTACATGTCTTTCTAATTGCTATTTTCTATCAGATTTTCTCATTGCTTATGTTTTGTTCAGGGTTTTCTAACAAAATAAGATATAAGCTAATGTTGTCCGACAATAATAAAAAGATGCTTTGTTTACTTGAAAAAAAAAAAAGCGGAATTTATCCATAAATTCATATGAAAACAAAGTAAATTTTTTCACAATATTTGCGTGAAAAATAAAAGGTGAATTTTCTTCTTAAATTTACACAAAAATGAAAGCCAAATTTCTCACAAAATTTGCATGAAAAATAAAATGTTCAATTTCGCCTGAATTTGGATGAAAATAACAGGCGATTTTTTTTTCGTAAATTTATATGAAAAATAAAAGGCAAAATTTACATGGAAAGTAAAAGGTGTAATTTTACCTAAATCTGAATGAAAAAGAAAATGCAAAAGTTATTACTCAACGTCATAACATCCTCCTTAATGAGATTATTTTCTCTCTCCCAATAATACTTGTTTACTTTGCTTTAAAACATATAAATGGAATTTTGTATTTGTGGGGATCTGAGATACAGCGACTTTTTTTTATAATTATTTTTGTTTTGATTGTTTGTTTTTTTTTTTTTTAAATAAAATCCCCACTGACATAAAATCGTCGAAAATATTCGTGAATATCACTGTAGCGAATTGTGAAACGTGTTACACACATAATAGAGAAAGAGAAACACAGAAAGAGACAAAAGAGTAAGAGAGAGAAAGAAAAAAGTGAGAGAAAGGGAGAGAGAGAGAGAGAAAGAGAAAGAAAAAAGTGAGAGCAAGGGAAAGAGAGAGAGAGAGAAAGAAAAAGTGAGAGAAAGGGAAAGAGAGAGAGAGAGAAAGAAAAAGTGAGAGAAAGGGAAAGAGAGAGAGAGAAAGAAAAAAGTGAGAAAAGGGAGAGAGAAAAGAGAGAGAAAGAAAAAAAGGAGAGAAAGGGAGAGAGAAAAAGAAAAGAAAAAAAAAGAGAGCAAGGGAAAGAGAGAGAGAGAGAGAGAGAAAGAAAAGGAGAGCAAGGGAAAGAGAGAGAGAGAGAAAAGTGAGAGAAAGGGAAAGAGAGAGAGAGAGAAAAGTGAGCGAAAGGGAAAGAGAGAGAGAGAGAAAGGGAAAGAGAGAGAGAGAGAGAGAGAGAAAGAAAAAGTGAGAGAGGGAGAGAGGGAAAGAAAAAAGTGAGAGAAAGGGAAAGAGAGAGAGAGAGTGAGAGAGAAAAGTGAGAGAAAGGGAAAGAGAGAGAGAGAGAGAGAGAGAGAAAAGTGAGAGAAAGGGAGAGAGAGAGAGAACTATCAACAGAATACGGAAAAGCAGGAAGGAAAATACGATGTAAATGAAAAACGTAGAGGGTAAGTAAGAAAGCTGGAAGAAAACGAAAAGAAAAGTGTCTAGAGGAGTGGATAAAAAGATGAAGGATACCCCCCGCCCCCCCAAAAAATAGGCTTTATCCTCCTGCGTTTCATTACTCCATCGAAGGTAAAGTTGTATCATTTCTTTTTTTTTACTTTAAATTTAAAGCACATCTTATGAAAGAAGGTCGATAGATTCTACGACATCGATATAGAGATATTTCAGTTACTCTACACTTCGTTCTTCATCGCTGATATAAAACAAATGACATATTAAGTGTTTGATTGATTCGTTTTTTACGGCTTATCAACCCTTTATTTAAAGCCAGAAAATATTTTTTATACTTTAAGATTTTTTTTTTAAAGATAATGGTTTAATCAAACAAGTTTTACTAATTAACCCGTAGCTGGAGGGAGAAGAGGTGGATTCATGCTTTTGCAAGGATATTTTGCGCGTAAGTGAATATAACGAACCTAAGGGGAATTTGAACTCGGCTCTCCGATTAACGATCCTGAGCCATTATCCACTACGCCATCTACACATCTAAGCTTACAGCATATGGTATTCCTAAGCGGTGACCCATCTAGGTATTGACCATGCTCGACGTTGCTTAACTTCGGTGACCGTACGGGAACCGGTGTTTCACCATGATCATGGCAACTATTCTGATGAGCCTGTTGTCCCGACTCTTTTAATTTAAGCATTCTACTAGACTAACAATTAGGTCCCACCGTTTTACAGTTAAACTAGCGTGATGCAACTGTCAGTTCTACTCTAAAAGTTACTTTTCTCGCACTTCCCATCTGTGGAACTCCCTTCAGATTTCTTGCCTCCCTGATAACTACAGTCTTCAAAAATTTAAATGCAACGTCAATCGACATTTTCTCTTTTCGTGAACCCTGTTTGTCCTTTCCTCAATCCTCCCCATTCTAAGTCTTCTCATTCTCTTTTCGCTCCCTTTAACTCTCTTGTGGCATTGTTGCATTGCTTGGGGGTGTAGGGAGACCACAGTTGTTTTCCCTTGGGTTGAGCTCATGGGGGTTTTGGCCTCTTCTGTCTTTTTTGTCTTTGCTTCCGTTTTTTGGAGGAACGGCCTCTTTATCTTCCTGACCACCAGGGTGTCCACACACATGGAAACTGGTCAACATGTGCACGGCCTAGCGAAAGAAAAAAAGTACTTTCTATTCACTTATCTGCTGACGATCAAAGGCCATAAAGTTGGTATGTTATTTCTTTGTTCCCATTCTGTAAACCTCCTCGTTCCTTTGGGACAATATGAAAAATCATTTGTTTTGGGACATATGTAAATCTCTTTAATATATGTACGTATGTTGTTTGCCTTATTAAATGTTTTGTTTGTTACGCCCACGTATTTCGTCTTTCTATATTCGCATTCAGTGTTAGTGCATCAATGGCTACACTAATGCTAATATTAGTATCGGTGTGCTGCTGGAAGGCTAAAACACGTTATTCTTCTTAACACAGAATAGTCGGTAAACTCTGTGTGGCAGATACCACCATACTAATAGGGTGAAACGATAAGAAAAAAAAATAGTCGTAAGTACACAAATACCATGGTAACGTTCAAGATTTCAGGAAGGTTCAAGTGTAATGTCAATCGACATCTGATACCATGATCTTGTTCCCCGTCCTTCTTTTTATCCTCTCCCCAAACACGCATCTTTACTCTTGTTCTCAATCCTCTGTAACCCCTTGTGTGCTAGTGGCTCTTCGCTTTGCTTAGGGTGAAATGTTAAAAAAAAAAAGTTTATTTGATTCGACAGACAGTTACAAATAGTTGGAGACTGCAGCGTAGAGATAATAAAGGTTAGGAAATTCGTTACTGTATGAGTATATAATTTCTGAAATTCAAACAGAGAGAAGGCCGAAGAATATAGCAGCCTAAAGGTCATAATAAAGATGGCGCTACCAAGAAAACTAGTTGGAATGAAGCATTGTGTGATAATAATAATTTATTTTCCTGAAAATTGTGACATAATTTGCAGGTGTCTGTTTCTAGTTTTTAGTTAATATTATTTTCTGTATTCTTGAATGGAAAAAAAAGAATTTGTCGTGTTTTCGTTGTCTGGGATAAAACCGGAATTTAAAAAAATGCATTAGTTGTCTTTCCTGTATTTTTTTTTGTTTTTTTTGTCTTGGTTGGATTTAGCTATGATTTTACATGACTGAACTTAATTTTATGTTCATTAAAAAACAGATATGTTAAACTTAAGAAAGAATTAAAAAAAAAAAAAAGAAAAGAAAAGAAAAGAAAAGAAAGGAAAACACAAAAAAATAAATAAAAATAAAAAGAGATAAATAAAACAAAAAGACGATGTTAGTAGTTCTTTTAAGCTGGGCAGCATTGGGTAGCCATGCTAATCTTGCATTAAAAATGCTTGCTTGTTGCAGAAAATAGGACAGCCATGACTACTAGTTAAAAGTCGATTCTACCGACGCAGATGAACAGGCCATTATTTAGGACTGTAAGTCATTCAGGGAGGTAAACAGAGAAAAAAAGTGAAAAAGAGCGTGGAAAAAAAATTTAAATGAATAAAAGCAAAAAAAAAAAAAAAAAAGTAAATTTCCAATCATTATATTGATTATCTATATAAATACATATATAAATAAATAAATAGCACTGACTACCTTTATTTCTGTCTGTGCTATCATTTCCAAAGAGAAAATCTCGAAATGTGCAGATCTGGCTTTGTTAAGTCTGGCACAAGGCTACTGAAGTATGACAATCAATGGCAATAGTAATATCAACCGTACCTTATAAGGAAACATTCTATATTCAGTGGTTGAAAAGCCAGCTCGGTTTTCTGTTGAAATTTATAAACTCTGTCTCTTAAAACAATTTTTCAGGAAAATAGGTTTCTCAAGTCCAGTAACTGTTATTGCTCTTTCTAATATTTCGTGCATAAGCTTTTAATGTGGAATATCCAGGTTCTACTATCGCAAAGCCATTTTAATCATTCATCTTATGAAGAACTAGCAGCATGGCCCGGCGTTGCTCGTGCTTGATTCAAAAATCGTACGACTCATACAGCAATCGCTATCACTTGATTTAAAATATTTTTGCCCTTCCTTGCATTTAAAGGAGTGCCCTTTGCCGTTGCTACATGCCTTACTTCTTGCCTATCTCACACTGCGAATTTTTTCTAAGCTCTATACTAAACATTAAATCTGTAACGAAAAAAGAATTAAACAAAATGATCAGCTTTAAAAAAGAACTCGTAACTGGAAAAACCGAATGAAAAAAGAATGTTAACAACAAATACTTTTTCACACCCAACCCAGTTCTGCGGAATCAGAAACGTTGAGTTTAAGCAAGCGAATGAGCCAATTGAAGTAAAGTGCCATGCAGATTTAAATTTTTCCCGCTTGTGACGAATGCAGCTATCGATTTTTTTGCATGCTAGCATGCTAGTTAACATTCGTGTCAGTCAGCTGTTGGCTCTCACGCTGGTCAATAGAATCTTCCTGCCTATTTGTGGCAGCCAGCTATTGGCTCTCACTCAAACCAGTAGAAAATGGTCGCAAACTACATGAAAACTGCCGTAGAAGCATGAAAAAATCGATTATTTCCACTATCGATGGGAGTTGGGAAATGCAAAGATGGCCTTGGCCTTCCCGTTAACTTGGAGCATGTGCATGTAAATTTTGGTGCAAATCCGTCGAAAATTGCGGCCGTGCATTCGTTACACACACACACACACACACACACACACACACACACACACACACACACACACACACACACATCCTGCCTTTTATAGATAGAGATTGAAAATCACTATATTAGCGAATTCTTGACACCCCCACCCCCAAAAAAAGGATTTTGTAATGTATTAATGTAATCGATCCTGACTTGCCATTTCAGCTACAGTCACTTTCTCACCGATGCGACGTAGCTTCCCTCTGCCTTTTCTACAAATATTTTCATTGTAAATGCTCTGACAAGTTTTTTTTCCCCTGGTGCCCCGACTACGTGAATTTAAGCATGCTACTAGATTGGCATTTAGGTCCCACCCTTTTAGTGTTGAAATACTTAAATGTAACCGCCACTTCTCCTCCAAAAGTTTCTTTTCTCGCACTTTCCGACTGTGGAATTCCCTTCTTCTTATTTGTTTCCCTGATAACTGCAATCTTCAAAAATTTACATGCAGCATCAACCGCGCTGTTCTTTTGACTTGAACTCCGTTTATCTTTTATCCTTTCCTCAATCCCCACGACCTATACCCAATCTTTCTCCCACATTCACTCTCTATAACCCCCTGCGTGCTAGTGACAGACACGACTTGCTTAGAGTGAAATGCTTAAAAAAAGATAGATAGAAGAGAATGAAAAACACTGCGATATATATATATATATATATATATATATATATATATATATATATATATATATATATATATATATATATATATATCAGAATCGGTAATGTATTATGTATCGAAAATAATTCCTATTTATCTGTATCTCACTCATTTAAACCGTTATTTAGCTCCTTTCTTTAAAACTTTTCTCTGTTAAATTTTCATCCCCACCTTCACCTTTAGTCCTTTCCTCTTCTTCTTTCTTCTGTTACACCCTCTCTCTAGAGCTTTCAGACATTTCCTTCACACACTTGTTTCCCACTCCCACACATACACTCTCACTAAAATTTTGTTTTTTATACCCGGAGTTATTTTTTCCGATTTCCTTTTGAATTTGTAGGTTTGATGAATTGGGTCGTGATTACGATTCTAATGTTATAAATTATAACCATGGAATATTAATCTTTGAGCTTTTTACATTGTATTCTTACTCTCTCCTGGACATTGAGTTCTACCTGGATTCTATCCTCTTGGGAATTTATATATATATATATATATATATATATATATATATATATATATTGACCACTAATATTATCAATATATATATATATATATATATATATATATATATATATATATTGATAATATTAGTGGTCAATATATATATATATATAAGTGGTCAATATATAAATATATATATATATTGACCACTAATATTACTAGGTAGATTACTGCTACCAGAAAGCAGAAATATTTCTTCTCCCGATGATGGCCATTTTGGCCGAAACAAGTCGAGGAATCTAAATGAAATAATAATAAAAAACGAAAGAATATTAATCTACAACCGAGTGTGTCTGAAGATTTTAATTTTTAATATTTTTTTATTGTTCAAAAATATATATATATATATATATATATGCATATATATATATATATATATATATATATATATATATATATATATATATATATATATATATAGAGAGAGAGAGAGAGAGAGAGAGATCTGCAATGTCATCCATCCCGACTTGGTATATCGACTTCAGTCACTTTCTCATCGACGTGACGTGGTCTCCCCTCTGTCTTTTCTACAAATATTTTTTATGCCAACTGCTCTGACGAGTTTTTGTTTCCCTGGTGCTCCGACTACATGAATTTAAGCGTGCTACTAGATTGGCATTTAGGTCCCACACTTTTAATATTGAATTAGTTAAATGTAACCGTCACTTCTATTCCACCAGTTTATTTTCTCTCATTTTCCCACCTGTGGAAATCCCTCCCGTTTACTTACTTCCCTGTAAACTACAATCTTAAAAAATTTAAATGCAACGTCAATCGCCATTTTCTCTCTTCTTGAATCCCGTTAATCTTTTGACCTTTCTTCTTTTTCCCAGTCATTCCCTGTAAGCTAGTGGCATTCCCGCCTTGCTTGAGATGAAATGATTAAAAAACAGCTATTTAACTAATAACTAAATTACTGCAGCGCGAAAGGTTTACTTAATAGAGAATTAGGGTAATATTTATCACGTTCCGTCTTTATATGTGAACCTAGAAATCACTGTAAAGCCTTAAATACTTCAGGAAAAATAATCAATTATAGGAACAATCAATTATAGAAAATTATCATAGACATTTTTTTAGAAATAATCAGTTAAAGAAAATAATGTATTACAGTAAATTATAGAAAAATAATCAATTATATGAAAATAATCAGTTATAGAAAAATAATTAATTATATGAAAAGATAATCAATCATCGGAAAATAGTCAATTATAGCTAAATTATCAATTATAGAAAATATTCAGTTATAGAAAAAAATAATCAATTATAGGAAAAATAATCAGTTATAGAATTAATCAATTATAGGAAAATTATCAATTATAGGAAAGTCAATTATAGGAAAATAATCAATTATAGGAAAAATAATCAATTATAGGAAAAATAATCAATTATAGGAAAAAATCAATTATAGGAAAATATTATAGAAAATATTCAACTATAGGAAATAATCAATTATATGAAAATATAAGTTACAGAAAACAATCATTTATATGAAAATATTATATAAATGATCAATTATAGCAAATGATAGAAAATAATCAATTATAGAATATAACAAAAAGAGGAGACAAAATTAGAAAGCATTCTTTTTTTATTCCAAGTTTTAAGGACATAAGATAAACTGGTTGTTGCGAAAATGCTATTAGGAAGATTGTGTTGCTTCTGTTTTTCAAGTGGTGAGGGCCAGACTGCATCGAGAAATCATCATTGAAAATAATGTTTTTTTTTTTTTTTTTTTTTTAGGCTTCTGAGAATTGGTACGAAAACCTTCTAACGAACCATTTAATATCCTAAATTGTTCTGTGACATTTTTTATATAATAAAGTTTACCAAAGCTTGGGAGCCAGTCAATATAGAGTGTTACGATTAAAATGGTTATAATGAATGAGATGCGTGATATGAATGAAAGGAGGAGGGGTTAGAAAATGAAGATTATGAAGATAAGGAGGATAGATAACGATTGACCCTTGACTTGAAAAGGTTAAAACTGCAGTTTTCGGCTTAGGTTAATCTGGCTGAAATGCATAATAGTGGAGTACTCAGTGAGGGTTGATCTCACACTAATGGTGTAGTTTTTTAGATGAAGGTTGAAAGATAAAAAAAATTAGGTTCAGCTTCTTTGTTAGATCGGTGGGCTTACGAGTGAGAGGCTCTGAATTTAATTTCAATTGTATTTCTATATTTTCTTAAGGCCAAATTGTGGAACAATGAGTATAAGAAGATTGTGTAGCACCAAATATGAGGTTTTTGATTTAAAAACGAAATCCTTTCCTTTGTATCTATATGTATATGCGGATGGATCAATAGCTATTTTGTTGTTATGGTACAAAGCACGGTGGAGTAATGGATAGCGACTTTTGACTGAGGAATCAGAATGCCGAGTTCGAATTCCAGTCGGATCCATTAGATTCACTTACGTGCTAATACCCTCAGGAAAGGTGTGAATCCTCACCACCAGATAGCAGGATAGACTGGATTTTATAACTTTTGGTGGTAACCGGTCTAGTAGAAGTAAAAACTCTGAATTCAAATCCGGCCTGGAGAGGGATGGGCTCCGTCAGGCTATTTTGCCAAGAAACACCACTTCTACTGTGGCTACAGTACACATAGTGACCCTACGACCCTACGGGTCACGGGATAAAAAAAAATATATAAGGAAATCCAATGTTGGGAGAGTGTGCTTCGACAATCGTCCAAGAGGGGAGTACTTAAATACACGTTCTCGGTCATTATGCCTGGTCAAATAATAAAGATCTCAGTAAAGGACCGTGTGTATAAATACGGTCCCAACGTGCACTTAAAAAGAAAGAATGAAAAAAGAAAAAATTCAGATTTAGCAACTAAAAACGCGCACTTTTTTATGCTTGAAAGATGAAGATAAATTTTCAACAGAATCGAAGCAACCATACTTAGCTTTTCTATGGCAACAGGTTTCTTTCCTGACGTCGAAGAAGAGGCGAAAACTTTCAGAATTCAAATATTCCGATAACTGCGAATAAATTTTACCGGAACGGTTGAATTTTAAAAAATCACGTTATTTTATATCCCTGTTAAAAAGAACTTCTTGACAGTCATAAAATGGGCGAATGCATTTACTTTCGAATGAAATGTAATGTTTTTGTTTTAATTTAATTTTTTTTCTTTGATTCTCTGCAATGTCTTCCTATCTTTGTTTGACCGTTTATATATATATATATATATATATATATATATATATATATATATATATACTGATAATATTAGTGGTCAATATATATATATATATATATATATATATATATATATATATATATATATACATAAATCTATATAAATAAATTTCCAAGAGGATAGAATCCAGGTAGAACTCAATGTCAGGACAGAGTAATAATATAATAAAAAAGGCTCAAACACTAATATTCCATGGTTATAATTTATCACATTGGAATCATAATCACGATCCAATTCATCAGACCTCAACCATGGAAGCTTTTTGAATTTGTAGGTCTGATGAATTGGATCATGATTACGATTCCAATCTAATAAATTATAACCATGTTTGAGCTTTTTTTTGAATTATTTTTTTATAACTGTGTTTTTATTTTTTTATAACCGTGTTTGAGCCTTTTATTATTATTATTATTATTATTATTATTATTATATATATATATATATATATATATATACACGACAAAATCCTAAATAACCTCTCATGAGACGGGGATTATAGATCTATTTCAACTAACGAAAAGTGCTTTAGTCTTATTCAACCCCGGTATACAGACTGTTCATACCGGAACTAGAAATTTTAAGTTTAACCTTGACAGAATTTAAAATTTAAAATTACTCTTTGCGGTACGAACAGTCTGTACACCGGGGTTGAATAAAACTAAAGTACTTTTCGTTAGTTGAAATAGATTTATACCGTCCGACCCAGATGAGGTCATTTTGCATTTTGTCATGTAATTTATATGCTCTGTTATAATAAATGCATTGAGCTCTCCTTGGGGATCAGTTTTAATATTTGATATTACTAGGATGCATTTGGATTATACACCAACGGATTTATTACTTTTATTATTATCTATCTATCTATCTATCCTAGTCTGTTTCTATCTATCTATCTATCTATCTATCTATCTATCTATCTATCTATCTATCTATCTATCTATCTTCATGGTATCTCCCTCTCTCATTCTATCTTTTTCTCTCTCTATCTCAGCCTCTTCTTATCTATCTATCTATCTATCTATCTATCTATCTATCTATCTATCTATGTTTCATTGTCCCTCTCTTTCTCTATCTATCTATCTATCTATCTATCTATCTATCTATCTATCTATCTACATGGTCTCTCTCTCTCCCATTCTATCTTTTTCTCTCTCTATCTCAGCCTCTTCTTAGCTATCTGTCTGTTCATTTTTTTGTCTCTCTCTCTCTCTCTCTCTCTCTCTCTCTCTATCAGCTTGTTCGTATCTATCTATCTATCTATCTAAATTTAATCTCATTGTTAATATAAATTGATTTGATTAATTGATTAGGGTAAAAGCATTTAATGGATTTATTTTCTTTTTGGTGATTACTGACTGGAGATTATGAGAACGCAGTTTGAAGGAGTTGGTATTCGGGATAATACTAAGTTAAAACCTAATTACTTTATTATTTTTTTAACTCCCCGGCACATATATATATATATATATATATATATATATATATATATATATATATATATATATATATATATATATATATATATATATTTATGCCAGTATCTGTGGGCCGTAGCTCGACTCTCCAAATATATTATCAGAAAAATCATTCTTTGAAATAATTTATCTGGATGTTAAACCCGGGATTGTTTTCCTTTTTTTTCTTTTTTCTTTTCTTTTTTTTTTAATATGAGTAGATAGATAGGCTCCCCTATCGCCGGTCCATACACCCCCCTCTTCTCTAGAACAGGAGTAGAGGCTCATCCATTTTTTCCCCTCTTTAGGAAAGGATTCCCTGGTCCTTTCCTTTTCCCTGGCCTTAAAATTTGTGCTGTCATGATGTTTTTGTCCTATGCGTGAATGGTAGTTACGTCTCTTCCTACTGAGGGTAACAGGTTGGCAATTTTTTTCTAGTTGCTATTCCCGATTGATAGTTGGGAGCCATCTTGAGAGGTTAGTCTGATTAACAGTTGCATAATATCGGGGTTCTTACAGTGTCATGTCGCGCATGGAAGGGTGTCTCTGCAAGCATCTCCAGTGGGAAACCCCGAGGCCACACTATTTTACAATCTGCACCAGTTCCCTTCCTGCATATATTACATTAGACAACCAACTACTACTATTACTACCCGAGGCCTTTCCTTACGAAATAACACATCATTCTATAAACAACCAAAGATATAAACCTAAACCAGCTCAATGAAAAACACCTAAACCCCTTAACTATTCCTTCTCCAACATTCGTGGTATTCTTACCAACGTCTGCCGTGTGGAATCGTTTCTCTTCGAAAAGTCTCCTAAAATCTTAACTCTTCAATCCCTCGCTCTAATTTTTCGATTCCTAGCTACCTTCCTCTCCTTAGAAAGGACTCTAATGTCCGCATGCATGGCCCGGGAGTTTATATCCACGAACATCTCCCGCTGAATAGGGAACTCTATTTTGAATCTCCAAGCCATTCTTACATGAGTCTCCATCACTCTCTACTTAACTCAGTCAGCTATCTCTTCTTTCTCTACCGTTCCCCTTCCTCTCAAGGCTGTTGCGTGCTATATAGTATTTCCGATAATATAGACAAGGCCATCTCCCGACACCCGATTGTAAATATATTTGTGTTCGGTGATTTTGATGCCTGCCGTACCATGTGGCTTAAACACTCTGTCACTGACTTCGCTGGCATCCAGATCTTTAACTTCTAAATCACTCAATTCCTCACGCAAGTGGTTGACTTCCCCACGCGTCTCCCCAGTAATCCTGATGGAAACGCTCCTCTTTTCGATCTCTTTTTACCTATCTCCCTGACTCTTGTTGTACTATACAGCTCTGCCCTCTTGGCAACTCTGATCATGCGGTAACGTCTGTTAACATCTTCCAATCCCACCGTCCAAGAAGCTCCTACCAAGAGAATATCTTTCTGTTATCAACGATCAGATTGGGACTCGCTCTGTGATTTCCTTCATGACGTCCCATGGAATGAAGTTTTTAAAATGCGCGACTGAGGTCTCCACCTAGGTGAAAACCAGCATCGATGCTTTCCTTCCATTGAGGAGATATCAAGTTAAATCGTGTTCATGTCCTTGGTTCTCATCTGCATCTTCGGCCGCTATAGCCCACAGGAATCACTTCTTCCGGATGTACCAGAGAGAAAGGTCTGATTGCAACAGATGTCTTTTTGTCTCTGCTCGTAACAAGTACAAGCATGTACTCAAAGAAGCGAAGTTAATGTTTGCTGATAGAATGAAACAACGTATAGCATCTCGCAAATTCGGTTCAAGAGATTATTGGCGTCTGTGCAAGTGCGTGCTGAACAAAAGCAAATCCCCACACCCTCTTCTATTCAATCAAGTCAAAGTCCTGATATCTACAGCAGATAAGGCTGAATGCTTTGCTCGGAAATTCTCTTCCAACTCAACACTCGAATCATTTGGAGTACCCACGCCTGATTTCTCCTCTAGAACCGAGGCTCTACGGAGTGATATGCGTATAACCCCCTCACTGGTTTCGGTCATCATTTCTAAATAAGACTCCCAGTAGGCAAGCGGAGGTGACAAGGCTCCCAGCCGGCGACCTCAAGAAATATGCTCCCGAGCTGGCTCCAGTTCTCTCCAAACTCTACAATTATTGCTTCCTGCTTTCCAGCTCGTTTGAAGTCCTCTTCTGTAGTCCCTGCATTTAAGAACTCTGGAAAACCTTCTGAACCCCCCCTCTTATTATCGCCCTATTAGTCTTCTATCGTTTTCAGCAAAGTATTCGAGGCTTTAATCAATGCTGAAGTGGTTAAGCATCTTACCTCTCACGGTCTACTCTCTGACAAACAATATGGATTCCGTGTTGCCCGGTTTACTGCTGACGTGCTTACAGCCATCACTGAATATGTATATAAAGCTCTTGATAATAACGGCGAAGCTCGAGCTGTGGCTCTAGGTATTTCAAAAGCGTTTGACAGTGCTTGACATGCCGGTCTTCTACGTAAGCTCTAAGGCTACGGTATTACAGGACGATTGTTTGTTTTAATCGAATTATTCCTATCAAATCGTAAAAGGAAGATGGTTCTGAACGGGCTCGCTTCCAGATCCTTTCACACGAACGTAGGTGTCCCCCAAGGCTCCATCATGGGTTCTACACTGTTTCTAATCTGCATCAATGGACTTCTTGATGACATCAGTTTCCAAGTAGGCATTTATGCAGATGTCACTACAATTTACTCCTATTTCGATAGCAAATCCATCAGAGTTGACAAAGTGAACCTGGGCGCTGCTCTTGAAAAGGACCTCCAATCAGTGTTTACCTAGGACAGGAGACGGACTGTACCTGTTAATGTCTCCAAAACTAAACTACTCTCATTAAACTACCATAGAAAAACTTTCTTGCCCGTTATAAACATTGATGATGTTCGACTCTAGGAAAGCGTCTCACTGCGCCTTCTTGGACTCACGTTTTCAACTGACCTGAAGTGGAACGAGTACACTGAATCAATAGCGGCATCTATTGCAAGGAGAGTTGGTTTATTGTGCCGTGCCAGAAGGTTTTTCTCGTCTTGCACTTTTACAAATCTACCATTCGACCGTATATTGAATACTGTTGCCATATCTGATCTGGTGCCTGTAGAATAACAATAATAAACAGCACTCACCGGCGTAAGGGTCCCAGCTAGCGTCCAGCTGGCAGACAAAAATAAAGCAGGTTGTAACTCAATACAAACTCTGCAAACTAACTGATGGATCAAGCTGGTATTTATACAGAAATACCTCCACTCATGTACTAGCAGCCAATCACAGCCCAAGCAATGGACTATCCCCCTTTAGCACAAAGAGATGCTCCATGGCACCATAAATAGCTCTCTTATGGTTAAGTTATTATTCACTCAGCTTGCTCCACAAATGAGTGTTTATATCGACCACGTGATTTTTCTACAGTGCCTCTGTTATTCATCCCGGGGTTCTTGACATGAAGCCGAAGAAGAATCTGCAATGTAATCAATCTTGACTTGGTTTTTCGCCTTCAGTTACTTTTTTACAGACGTGATTTGGCTTCCCTCTGTCTTTTCTACAAATACTTTCATGGCAACTTTCAGTAGCAAATCCATCAGAGCTGACAAAGTTAACCTGGGCGCTGCTCTTGAAAAGGACCTCCAATCAGTGTTTAACTAGGACAGGAAATGGCTTGTACATTTTAATGCCTCCAAAACTAAACTACACTCATTAAACTACCATAGAAAAACTTCCCTGTCCGCCATCAACATGGAAGAATGTTCGATCCCAGGAGAGCGTCTCATTGCTCCTTCTTGGTTTCACGTTTTCAACTGATTTCAAATGGAACAAGGCTACTGAATCAATAGCTGCATCTACTGCAAGGAGTGCTGGTTCATTGTGTCGTGCCAGAAGATTTTTCTCGTCTTGCACATTTACAAATCTATTATTCGGTCGTGTATTGCATACTGTTTGCCATATCTGGTCTGGTCTCGAGATTCTTCATAAATCCAAAGAAGGATCTGCAATGTAATCGATCCGGACGTGGAATCTCGACTTCAGTCACTTTCTCACAGACGTGATGCGGCTTCCCTCTGTCTTCTTCTACAAACGTTTACATGGCTACTATATATAATCGTTTAATGCCAAGTAAGGTAAAAAAGCAACTAAGACGCAAGGAGTTACTAATAATGAAGGAAGGTGGGAAAACGATACTTACGAGAAAGGACAATAAAAGAAAAAAGAACATTATTCAAGGACACAGAAGATGATATATAATGCTGGTTTGATATATATATATATATATATATATATATATATATATATATATAGTTTTAAGGTGTGCTATATTTATAGGATAAAGTGCTCAATATCAGAGATAGAGCGTATGTAAATATAAATATAAAAGTGAACATTGAAGTCAAAGCTGTTTCATGCTAGACACAATTGTATTTTAAATAGTCGAGGAAACATCCAACATTCGCGGCCTGATGATTGCGTCTAGCATGAAACAGCCTGACACCTCTGAGTGTTGACTACAATGTTCACTTATATATATATATATATATAAATGTACGATATATATATATATATAGGTCGATAGGGGTTCCGTGAGAGACAATGATAAATGTACGTGTATAGTAAAATATAGTAAAACAAAAATTACTCACAAATGCATTGGTCTATTTATCATTGTCTCTCGCGGAACCCCTTTCAGAATCCGAGGGTTCTGGGAACACACCGGTTGAGAAACTCTAGTCTAAAGTGTGAATACCTACTTCAGTTTTTTCGTTGGAAAATCTTGGTTATTATAATAAATG